ATGTTTTTTTCCCTTTAAAAGAAGATCTCCATTTCATTTTAAAATATGCTGTGTCCTACATTTTTAATGCTACTAACACTTAGGTGTTTCCACATGTGTCTTTAACCTCTATGTATTTGTTTATTACTAGTCACAATCAGCTACAGTTGGATCCTTAGTACCTAAGTATGGATGTAAAGTCATCAGGTAGATTTCACTGGTAATGTTTATTACCTCTACTCTTTAACATGAAATAAATTTTTTTTAATTTTTTAATAACTACATGATTAGAAGCATTTCATTACAGCTTTAACATAATATTCAGTAACACACTCCAGAGCAAGAGTAACATCTCTTTCACAAGTGGGTGCAAGTTTCTAGGATCACAGTTCAATTAATACAGTTATACAATATTGAACTCAGTATAAGCCCTGTAAGACATAAAATTGAATGAGGAATATATTATTCCTTGCATAAAGACTCATTTATTATTTTTTATGTGTATGTGTGTATTGCCTGCATGTAGGTAAGTGCACCTGTGTCATGCAATGCCCACGGAGGGCAGAAAAGGCTGTTGAATCCCCTGGAACTGGAGTTACAGACAGTTGTTAGCTGCCATGTGGGTGCTGGGATTTGAACCCAGGTCTTCTGCAAGAACAGTCAGTGTTCTTAATTGCTGAGCCATCTCTCCAGCCCCAGAACTCTTAATGTTCAAGTGAAGCAATGAAACATATGATCTGAAACTAGTACTAGAATTCTCCAATGATCCAATTTATAGCATTCCTTTGGGTCTCTGGCTAATTCTGATACAAAACTATCATTAAACAAATCAAGCTATCATCTAAATTAATCTAGTAGGAAATGAGAGATAGAGGGGATAGATTATGGCTATTTTAAATTGTTTTATTTTTATTTTATGTGTATGAATGTTTTGCCTACATATGAGTAAGTGCACCCATATTGTGCTAAGCCCACAGAGGCCAGAAAATGGTGTTGGATCCCGGGGAACTGGAGTTACAGACAGTTGTTAGCCATCATGTGGGTACTAGGAATTGAACCCCAATCCTCTGGAAGAGCAGTCAGTGCTCCTAACTGATAAGCCATCTCTCCAGCACCTAACTATTTTTTTCGAAGAAATCATGTTGAGTTATGAGTATATATCTTTGAAAAAATTAGCATTGTGTAATTTACTATGAGAAAAAACCATAGTATTTTATATTATTCCCCCCATTTCTGTTTTCACTCTGCATATATACTAAAATATTTGCTCCACCTACTGAAATACTATGGTTCTCAAAAACTGAGGGGTTTGAAAATTATAAGAAGGTAAAGGAAAATATTTCTAAAAGATAAATAAATAAATAAATAAATAAATAATAAACAGATTCTCATGTTTGAAATTATCTACAGTAGTTTTCTCACTGGCCAGCCTCACCACCAAAAAAAGTTGGTGATGAAAACAATATATAAAACTTTAATCTATTTCTTGGTACTCTTAAAAGCTTAAAGGATTTTGTATTTGAAATAAATACACATTATGGTTGATTTTACACCTTATAGTATGGAGATTTCTTATTTTAGCTAGTCGCTCCTCTATTTGCACAAGTTGATATATAAATGCAAGACATGGTGTCTAGGCCAAGAACATGGACAAGCTTGAGTTCCTATCTTGGTTATGCTACTGACATGTTTGGTCATATTACAAATAATGTAATCCTTTATTTAGACGTTTCATCCAATCTACCTAGAGAGATTATAATTTTAAATACTTCTTTCAATGTCCAGTTTAGCTGAAGGCTCTTTCAGTTTTGTTTTTGTTTTTGTGTTTTTGAGATAGGGTTTCCCCAGCTGGTCAGGAACTTACTACGTAGACCAGGCTGGCCTTGGACTCACAGATATCGCCTGCCTCTGCCCACTGGGATTAAAAGCGTGTGCCACTACACCAGGTTTCCTTCTTTTATCTTAGCCCCCGAACAATCCACTGCAAATTTGATGAAACTATACAGATTATTCATTTTATTATTTTGTTATTAATTTTATTAATAACACTGGACTAAATTTCAAAATTCTTTGTGACAAATGTGAAAAGAATGCATTTCTCTATATATCAAAAGGCAATGATTATCCCAAGGAAAATCTTTAAGCTGCAAACAAACCAAGATATAATTCTTTCTTTTAAGGATCTGACAGAAAACCTACAGCTATTCAGACTTGGTTATATGGAAAATTTTTCTCAAAAATAAAACAATTAAAAATGTTCATTTTAAGGAAAACAATAGTACTTGCATTAAATGATATTTAAATAGCAACTTAAAACCACACTGTATTTAGAAATGCATATGGTAGCACTTTATTAAATATCCAAAGAAGCAGAGTCACGAATGCCCAATAGACAAATTATGTAGAAGAAAAAAACCAGGAATCTATACAGCCTGAAGTTGTCAAGGAAGCTCCTACATATCTAAATAACATCTAAGATGGGACTTGAAATTTTGGCAGGATTTAGACTTATAGAAAAGACAGCATGGCATCTAGGAAGAACTTTGCAACATATATAACACAGAGTTTTTTAAAAAAGAAATATTATCTTCTAATATTTTAACTATTTCATAAGTGTGTATTCAAACTTAAATATTAAGATCCTTGAATCAGGGGCCACATATTACATTTCTTTGCTATCTGCTAGAGAGATTAACATATGGTCAAATTTAATGTGTTGAACTATATGTTTAGAAAATTAATTTACGAAGGTAGAAACAGAACAGTTATACTTAGCTCTAAAACTTAGCTAAGTTGCCTTGGATAAACAAGTAAACCTCAGTTCTTTTAAACTCGAATATATCTTATTGAGAATCACCCTCTAAACACCCTAATTCAAAGTGCAACAAATATCTAATAACCCAGAGAGAAATGGGAATGTGTTCCTGTTCTTATGCTGATTTTGCTATTTTTTAATGTTGTTTTCAGATAATGTTATTTTTACTTTTCAGTTTAGCCAAACCAATTAACATATACAAGGAGATGGTATACATTGCATACAACTGTACTACTGAAAAAAACTGTAATATATTTCAATAGCACGAACATTTTTAAATATGCTCAATACTGTAGTTATCTGTATCACTGTAATTTAATGCCCAATGCATTGTAAAATCAAGCAGAATCCCAATTTATTCCTCCAGATATTCAGAAGCATTTAATTTTTTTTCTACCATGCAAGTGCTTCACACACCTCTCCAAGTCATTGTTTCGACAAATAGACAGACAGACAAACAGACACACACACACACACACACACACACACACACAGCCACATCTCAATTAGGTTTCTATGTATTAAAATGATAAAGCTCCCTTCATTCCTACATCCTCCCTAAGGTAACCACAGCCACTAGATGGCAACAAGTATGCAAAGATAAATGTACTTATCTATGCCAGAGATTCACATATTATTATAATCTAAAAACTTCATCATTACAAATCCTAAAATAAAACAAACTGGACTTAAATATGCAAGGTATACACTGCAAATTCAAAGATTTCCCTGGAAAGAGTTCAAAAAAGCAAATAACTGGGTTCAAAAGAACAGTTTTATTTTTTGCATTAAGTACTAACCAAAGAAATACACCTAATTCCCTTAAAGATAGATAGCAATACTGGATAGAGCTTTTTAATATCAGCTTTAGAAAAAACACACAGAAAAGTAGAAACAACTGTGTAGAAAATGGAGAACAGCACCTTGAAACTCTCCCACAGTCACATCTATAAACCAATAAACTGAAAGAACAAAAAGAGTTTACCAGCCCTTTCTCCTACTGAAAAGCAAGGGTTCTGTAGGTAATATTTTGGGGCAAAGAACATAATGGTTGTTAGAGATAAACAGTCTTAAGTCATTTTCTCACAATAACTCAAGGAAATTAGTAGGAAGAATTTAAGTTACTAACCTTTTATATTTTATTTTATTTTATTTTTATTTTTTTGGTCTTTTTCAGACAGGGTCACCCTGTAGCCCCAGCTGGCCTAAAACTCGCTATGCAGACCAGGCTGGCCTCAAACTCATAGAGATCTGCCTGCATCTGCCTCCCAAGTGCTGGGACTAAAGACAAGCACCACTATTATTTATTATTTTTATTTTAAGTGTATGAGTGTTTTGCCTACATGTATATAAGAGCGTTATATGCATGCAATGTCCGTGGAGGCCATAAAAGGTTGTTGGATCCCCTGGAACTGAAGCTACAGAAGGCTGTTAGCTGCCATGTGGGTGCTGAGAATCCAGTCAGTGTTCTGTGGAAGAACAGCAAGTATTCTTAGCTGCTGAGCCATCCTCCAACCCCTAACAGCTACTAATCTTTAACAGACAGTTCTACTATTTCTGCATAGAAATTCTAAATTCATTAAATTTCTAAATTCATATGAACTGCAAAGATAAATGTACTTATCTATGTACTTATTTATTTTGTGTTAACTTTTATTATCATAAAACTGTAACACTTCATAAAACCAATACTTAGTAAAATGTAATTGTCTTACCCTCATTGGATGTATATCAGCATAAGGTGGTTTTCCTTCTGCCATTTCTATAGACGTAATACCAAGGGACCAGATATCAGCCACACAGTTGTAGCCTATTTCTTGAATTACTTCCGGAGCCATCCAAAATGGAGTTCCTATCACAGTGTTGCGTTTTGCCATTGTATCCTGTAATGTTACATAAGCACAAATACTACTACAAAAAAACAAAGAAAATTTGCATACCAACATATTATATAAAATATATGGTCTCCAAATAACCCAGGTTGTGATAAACCAACAGTCCTCAACATATCTCTACTTTTTTAAACAGCCATTAAAGATAGTATATAAGGAGCTGAACAGAGAGTTCTCAAAAGAAGAAGTAAAGATGGCTATGAAACATCTTAAAAGATGTTCAACATCCCTAATAATTAGGGAAATGCAAATTAAAACCACTTTAAGATTCCACCTTACCCCAGTCAGACTGGCTAAGATCAAGAAAACAAATGATACCAAATGTTGGAGAGGATGTGGGGAAAGGGGAACACTCATCTACTGCTGGTGGGGCTGCAAACTGGTTCAACCCCTATGGAAAGCAGTGTGGAGAACTCTTAAAAAACTACAAATGAACATACCATTTGACCCAGTTATACCACTCCTTGGCATATACCCAAAGAACTCGTCCTATTGCAGAGAACTTGTACATCCATATTTGTTGCTGTTCTCTTCACAATAGCTAAGAGATGGAAGCAACCTAAGGGTCCCTCAATTGATGAGTGGATAATGAAAATGTGGTTCATATATACGATGGAGTTTTACTCAGCAGTAAAGAAAGATGAAATCATGAAATTTGCAGGTAGTTAAAAAAAAAAAATCGACATATGTTCTCCCTCATATGTGGATCCTAGAACCAAACTTTGATAAATAAGTATGCAACCAGACATAACTATAGGAACCAGGATAATGGAAAGGAAACAGGGAGGTAAGGAAAAGAAATAACCTGAAAGAGAAAAACAGTAGGAAACAGGCCTTAATAAGGTAGGTATGGATAAAAATTGGGTTAGTTTAAGGGAGGTGGGGAGGGAAGGGTATACGAGGAACCTAGGACATAAAGGGAAAGAAGGAGCTCAAGAGAGGTAGGACCACAGGAAAAGGGTATTATTATAGGAGAAAGGGGGGAAATGGGGGCACCTTAAGAGGGAAAATTATGATGGAGGGGTGAGACAATGTGAGAGATAAACAATGCCTAACTAGCTTTAGAAAACCAGAGGGAACCATATTAAGCCAACAACCTACTGGCAAATTATACATACAACCAGATCAAAGAATCTAATTTATGTCTAGTCAAGTTTAGAACAACTGGTCTTTGCCCAAGATTTATCTACATGACACACAGTAATTAAAAAATATGAGACTGGGGGAACTAACCTTCTTGGGTGTTTAACAGACATACTTTGAGGCCTATAATAATTTGGTCAGAGGGACATAAAGGACACTTTTTGCTCCTTGCCCTCCTAGGTCGACTAGTTCCAGGGGACTATGAGCATCTCTCAAACTGTCCTATAATGGTGGTAGGTCACCTGTCCTCTTGATCAAGGAGGCCGAGGAGACCCCACCAGATGGACTTGAACCAGTGTCCAGTCTATAAAGAGGAAGGTCAAAATACAGGAATCATTTCTTCCAAGCTTCCAAGTGAAGCCAACCACGGTTCAGCAGGACCTTCGACTTATCTTCATATAGGTAGAACTGGTAAAAGAAAGGAGCCAGGGGTGTCTCCCAAGCCCAGATCCTCAAACGTCCTTAAGAGTAAAAATAAATCAGTTTATCTGGACCAACTGTGTGGCCTTAAACACTCAAAAGGAAAGTATAACCAAAGATTAAAGGGGTCAATATAATTTCATAAGAGACCATATGTATAGCTAAAGGCTACATAGCAAGTAACAATGCCAGACAGGCGGTACTTCCTTCTGAGTTGTTGGCCAGGGTGGCCAAAGGGATTCTCAGATAGCAACCTAGCATAGAACTGGGAAATTGAACAGCAGACCCCAATCTTATCCAAAGGAATATTGACAACTGAATACTACTAGATGAGGAACAGCTGACCCTCCTAAAACAAAGACCTCTAGATAGGCTGACTAGACTCACCAGAAGGACAAGTAGTGGGAAATGGCTGGGGGTGCTGACAACACAGCAGACAGCAGCAGGGATATCAGAGTATAAGGGCTCTAGTGGGGGAAGGGAGGCTAAGGGAGGGAGCTACCTGGGAAATAGGTCTATAAAAAAAAATTCTTCAAAGCATAAAAATTTGCTCCTTAATTAACTAGTAGATGTGAAAAACATTACCATTGAAATCTACCTGATGACTTTATATCCATGCTCAGGTGCCAAGGATCTCAGAAAGTAACCAACTATGACTAGTAATAAGCAGATATATAGAGATTAGAGATGCATGTGCAAACATCTAAGTATTAGTTGCATTAAAAGTAAGTTTTTCTGGGACTGGAGAGATGGCTCAGCAGTTAAGAACACTGGTTGTTCTTGCAGAAGACCCAGGTTTGAATCCCAGCACCCACATGGC